ATATATATATATATATATATTTGTCATACAGTTATTTCTTTTGATATCTTATGTCCGATGACCTTTTACAAATAAGGTGTCATTAAAAAAATATTTCTCGACATTTGGGGAATATATATTTACATAAGAAGTTTTGCATTCGTGAAAACTTATCGTCTCCTATATTATTTCAGTGGTTTCAACATACCTTTTGCGGCTCTCACATGCAACGTATTTTTATAAATGCGGCCTCTAAAAAAGATAATTTTACGAAGATGCGACGAATTGCACTTTGACTTTGAAAATATGAAAGATTTGTTTAAAAAACGCATCTAAATATTCATGTCAAATGCAACCTGCATCTCTCAGATATCTTGTTAAATAACTCCTGAAGAAAGCGTTTTAGGGCCTTAAAAACTACAATTCTGAGGCCAATGGACTTAAAGAAATGTTCATCACAGTAATTTACAGAATGATTCTCGGGCATTATATTGCATTTTTGCTGGTTCCGTACCTATCGATACTACCAACGTTATCTATATTTAATCCCTTGGTGATAGTGGCCATCTTTCGACATCATGCTTAGAAGGCATAGATTCCTCTATCTTATACTTTTTACGCTTTCTACGCACGTCGTGGTTTGCGCTGACGAGATTTATTGGAATAATTACTAATTAAAAATTTGCTCTCGCCGTAGCAACTAGAAGTACTATTAATAGTTGCTTGATACTCATTAAGATTGTTTCTTACGCGTGTAGTGAAAACATTTATTGAATGTTTTGCCGAGGTTTACACGTGCTGTGCACCTAATCGTGGAGGGATGTGGGTGTACAGAGAAGAGTGAAGAAGTGTCTTGTTTGGTTTAGTATGGTTTATCTGTACCAGTATTTTCGTTATGTAGCAGTGATTCGGTGAAACTTTCAAGACAGCGTGTTCAGTCACGTAGCGTTTTTTAAAGTAAAAAATATTTTTTAAATATTTTGTGACTATCGCGAAAAGCTAATTGTCAAAGGAAATTGAGTGATAAATTATTTATAAATATTTATTTAGTATTGCCGAGATATTGCTTGGAACAATTCACAACACTTCCTTAAAAATATTTGAAGTTATATTTGAAATACTATTTGAAGTAACCATTACTTCAAATATTTGTAAAGAAGTGCTGCGAATTGTTCCAAGCAATCCCTCGATAATACTCAATAAATATTTATAAATAATTTATCATTCAATTTTCTTTGCATTGTTTTTATTTTTATTTGTTGTTGTGTTAGTACATTGAAAGATAACTTTATATATTTTTAAACAAATAAATACTTTTTCAACGTTTCCTCTTAGAATGGAAATAGAAGGATAGGGAAGAGTGTGGGGTTTAATATGCGAGAGTTCCTGCACGGGGATTCATAGGTAGTAGGGGAAAACTTGTGCTATGGCACAAAACAAAGAACAAACTTTTAAATTAACTAAAGTAAAATAGCTTGAAATAAATGAACAACGAAAATAAAAATGTGCTAGCCTACCAATACTACGTGAATGAATTTAAAAAAGCAACCAAATTTAAAATTATAAAAACAATAGCTCAAGTCACTCGACAACTGCCATCGCTCACAACCCAGACGCACGATTTATATGTTGGCGGTATCTGCAAGTCTGTACATCAATGCTCAGCTGTAAACTCATATTATAAATAATACACTATTTAATATTACACTTACGGTGTCGGTTCGCTATGATATTCAATACGTAAACATCATTTGAGCAACATTCTCTTGTACCGAAGTGAAGTCTTAGCCTACTGAATTGTTTCTAATGGTAACATATAGTATTTATCAAGCGATAATATTAGTTTTATAATTTTTTGTCTCGGAATTGCTTTCTTGGGGTACGTAAGAACGCAAAAAATAATACTAGACTTTTTAGTATACAAATAATTTTTCAATTTTACCACCCCAGCAAGATGCCCCCCTGCCCTTTCAAAACCCCCTATGTTGCTCCTAACAAATCCAGGAAAATTAAATAATATTGTAAAGAGTAGTATTAAACTTGCTCGATCTTGTTTTTTTGCATGAAAAACTTTACTTGGCTTTCTCAAGAGTAAACACCTTTTCTGATATTTTTATGACTATCAAAGAAAGCAAAAAGCTAACTGTCAAGGTTGATTAAATAAATACTTCAAATGTCGGGTTCAAGAGACAGTTAATATTCGAAGAACATATCTATATTATACTGAATAAACTAAAAAAATTGTTTCGAACATAAATTGCATTGTTTTCATATTTGTTTGATATTCTGTAAGTACGAAGTTACATTTATGCATTTTTTTAACCAACATATTTCATTAACAACGTTTCTTCTTAAAGGCAAGGATAGGCAAGTGGATACAGAAAGGGTGGGGATTAACAGGCGAGTATTCTCGCACGGGTGTGCTAGTCTTAAATAATTACACCACGCGTTTGGTTGCGTAAATCGGAAGTTAACGTCATAGACTCGAAAAAACATGTTTTTTGAGGAATGAAGTCTGCGGAGTAGGTTATTATGGTGTAATGCATCAAATGAAATTTTAGGTCTACAAATGCATTTTCTTTTTTTGGAACTTCTTCCTACTCCCTACTTTATGGCACGAGCAGGCAGAATTTAATTACTGTACAGATTAAGTACAGATTTAATTCATGTAAAATATTCTTGAGGTATCTCACATTGTTTTTGTTTTTTAAAAACGACAAACAGCAAAATTATATTTTTGATTAATATCCCTCTACTTAATGGATATAAAGTGATCACTTCAGTACGCATTTTTGCTTAATACATTTATTTAAATTACTTGAAAATAGTTCATACGTGACTTATGAAATTGAGTCACGTCCTCATGAATGCCACATTCATCGTTCTGAGGACAAATGAAATATATTCTGTAAAACACATTAGTCGACACACGTCACCGAATATTTTTTGGAAGTGTTTGTGAGGGTCCAACACAATGGTCAGCTAACTGAAAAGAGAGATTTTTTACGCAAACGATAAGGAGAACATCTGCCGGTCGATTGTAAAGTGATGAATGACGACATAGATCACTATCTCTGCAATAGATGTAACACGAAGGCCTATGATACACGTTTTGATAACAATGTTCAAAGGCTAATTCGATTTTTATTACCATCAGTAGAGCGAATCGCATTAACACAATAAAACCAACAAATACGAATACTGTGCTCTGAGTGTAGAGAATCACATTTGCTAGAGGAATAGCGGAAAGGTAGGTCTATGTGTGCAGAATATTCATCTACTGATTTCGTATTTTTGTTATCCAACCGCGATTTACTGAAGTTTTGACTAAAGCTTACAATGGAGTGTTTTGGTTAATTTTATTGAAATATTGATAATCATATATGTACGGTTTTTGTAAGTTTTGAACGACATTTTCGCTTTCAAAAATGCATGCTGTATAGTAAAATATTACATGACTTAATTATTGCCCTTAAGTATCTACTGTTTAGTTTCGTTCACCTGAGCTAATAAACAATAGTTTAAATCTGTAGAAATTCTATATCAAGAAATTTAATAAGAAAAAACATTGAAATTTACAGAGGTTCTTTGTCCAAAATCAAATAAATATAATATTTGTGTAAACTGAATAGTAAACGTATCATTTCTTCGCTTACAGTGCTTTAGAACTTTATTTTATTCATACGGTTAAATATGCTTCTTAATGGTCAAAAATATGCTGCTCCAATATTCCTTTATCTAAGGAAGATTAAAATTTTGTCATCTACTCTCTTGAGCGCTCCAGAATGACTCTCGCGCTGACGGCGCAGCAAACTATTTGTGGTGACATAAAATGTTATTTTTGTATGCAGTATTCTGACATTGTTGTTTAAAAACATATACATTATCCAATGCTTTAATGTCTATGGAATGTAGACATTTAATGGGATCATTTTTAAAAGAATATTTTTATTTTGTATTTTACTAACAATTGGAAGAATATAAAATATTATACATGATAATAATGATACTACTTGGAAAAAATACTTTGGGAGCAGCGACAGGAGTAATTCCTTTCTTTCGTAGATAACGGATCTCTTATGGCAGTGAATAATATTACAATTATGTTAAATGAACAGACTTACAAAAAAACAGATTTTGTCTTGTGCTTGCAGCACGCTATAAGTAGTATATATTTCATATAAAAGCCGAATGTAATTCTGTTTTTGGTCGTATTATGCTCATAGATTATTGCTTGGAGTATGATGCATTTTTCTGTGGTGCTGCGGATTCTTGTTCTGGCTCTAGCAATAGGATTGGCAGTGACTGGTCCCGGCAATGGTGTAAGTGGCCTTTTCTATTTAGTCAGATGACGGTGTCTGAGCATAACTTATTTAATCTAATTTGTAAGATTGTAAATGATTTTGTCTCGCCAAGCACAGTGAAAATATTGTCAAATTTAAACTTTCAGAAAGGCAAAAAGAAATTAACCATTAAAGAAATAGAAATATTTCATGAAAATCCAGATTACTCGGAAGTAATTGATTGCGATGTGAAATATCTTAATAATGACGACACTGCGGTTTGGTCATTAAAGTGGAATGTTAAGAAGGACCTTGCCGACACCTGTTTGGTAAGTGGCAGTGAAAAAAAATAGTTTATACGTTGAGAATCTGCTGGTCGGGTCATACATTCCGCGAAATAAAATAACATAATGATACTATTCGTTTCTATCTTTCGAAAATTTGTTTTCCTAAAAGCAATTTTCACAAAGTGTATATTTCGTACTGCTCTTTTAGGGATCGCTTGAGAGCTATCGAAAAGAGAGTAATGGCTGGGGAGTATTTATTTATCGAGTTACTCCAACTCCAATCAACAAATTTTTGGAAAGTGAAGCCGCATACCAGGAAATCTGTGCTACTGGGAACTTCCCACCTAAGTTTCCGTTTATAGCGGTAAGTTTTTTCCCTTGAACCAAACATTATTATCATAAGATCCATCGTAAGAGAGGCACTATTGTATTAACCGGTAAGAAGTGTCGTCTGAATTTGAACTCGAGCACATTGCGTATTTATTTTCTTTGGGCAACTTCAACGTATTTCTCTTTCTGTCTACTAAAATGCAAAATTTACTGAAGGTATATTTTCATTTCGAAGATCTTTTACGAAAACTGAGTTGATGTTCGATTGATGGCGAAGCGTCTGTGTGTTAAGGGGCTAGCGCGTAATCGCTTCAAACCATTTTCTCCAAAATTAATAATCATTGATCTAAACGAACTTGAGTCTCTGCGAGTTTGAAACGTATTTTAATTTTAGAGAAAATGATGGATTCATCTACATGAAGCCTCAATATTTTCAAAATTTTCTCAACAATGGCTTCAAATGTTTTTATTAAATATTGACCCACAGAAAAGCCATTAAAATAATATATTTGCACTCATTTTTAAAATATCCTTTGAAAACAATGTTTGACTGAACTAGCCCAAATAAATAAATTCTATTGACTTTTTGTGCCTTTTCCCAATAGCTTTTGCTATACGCATCCCTAAACTAAGTAGTAGTACCATTACTTATCCAAATATCGACACTTGTAAAATAAAGTTTTTCTCTAATGCATTTACAGGGTGAATACTCAATCAACGAATACAATTTCAAGCAACCAAGCAATCTGGATATGGAATGTAACGATTATAAATTTGAAGTTAATCTTACTGCCTTGGAAGGGCTCACAAAGGTCCCTGTTTTAGGAATACGCATGATTATTAATGTTCATCTTTAAAATAAACTAGTGGAACTCCAACAGCACATACGTTTACTATTGTTACATTGCAATTTCTACCATTACTTCCAAAACTGCCCCAATTCTGCCCTCATCATTTAAAAAAATCGAAACAAATTCAAACAAAGCGCCAACGCTGCGAATTTGCAATTACTCTAATAGTCAGGAACAGTAGCCCTTCCTTACTGCAGCAAAATAAACAAACATGAATAGATTTCAACTGTTATAATATTTGCAGCACAGTGTACAAACAAGGATAATTTCACATTTAAATTGAACATACTGAACTAAAGGCCATCCAATACATCGCCTTGTGAATTAATATAAAACTACCCTTTTATTGAACGTAGATACATTGTAACATTAACTTTAAGTAAATAAAGCCTCTTTTCTTATCGCTCCCCCATCCATGTGCACGTCCGACAATGAAATTCTTAGAGTAACTTCTCAAACTACCATATTGCTGCATTCTTTGGCAATACTACATGAAATATATTAAATAATTCATAATCATCATAAATAAACCAAACTGCTACTAATTAACTACCTAAAAAACGACTGTAAAATTGTCGTACTCTATATTTTCAATATATCATTCATATTACTTTTAAATCATATTTTAAGAGAAAAAAATTAATAGGAGAAATTTCAGTTAACGTTTGCGGCTTGGTGGAAAGAAAATACATCATTGCATTGAGAATACAAATTGTAGGATATTCGAATTAATATTAAGATTTTCAATAGTAAATTTTAATTAAAATAATATTAATTTTTTTTCATATCCTCTTGATCCATTCCTGTTCTCTCCGAATTTATACTTCTCCTATCTTCACACCTTACTTCACCCACTTACACGCACATCACTGCCACACGTGACGGGACACCAGTGGGAGCTTAGAGCTTGTCCCGGATGGGGCGGTGCTCCGCTGGTGGGAGATACCTGATTAGGGAAACCTCGTTAGCCGACAGTTAACGCCGGCGCCGGAACTCACCATCCAATGGGGGAAGATCATCAACGACATCCGAGGGGGAAAAACATGCACAAACTGATTGATTGATTGATTATTGATTCCGGGCGCTTCTATGGTTAAGGTCATTAGTCCTGTTAATAGCAACTATTCCTCCAACACTAATAGCAACACTCCTCCTATTAACACTACTCCCTACACTTACTAGTGTAGGCGTGTTTTTATCGTGGGAGTTGGCGGTGATATTCCCCCGTTGGATGGCGACATCCGGTGAAGAATTACGTCGGCTTGCGGGGATTTCCTCCCCGCCCCCAACCAGATATCTGCCACCAAAGCTGCACCGCCCCACAAGGACATCTCTAAGCTCCCGTCTGGTCTCGCGACATGTGTGCTAGTGTAGTACATGTGAGTGTAATCGTGTGTAATTAAAGAGTAAGGATACTGCAAGGAAGACAAAATTATGCACGGTCCGTGGCCCGCTCGTTAGGGTACTTCTCGAGCATTCCCCTGATGTGTATCGGAGAAATTATAAAAAACCAGCGAAATAGGTCAGCCAGCCCCTAGAATTCTTCTCTAGGCAGCGGCTGAACTCGACTTAGATATTCCACTAATGTTGAAAACCCTTCCACCGTCGATACTCCAACCCTAGGACCTCCGGATCAAAGGCACTGCAGCGACATCAGTTGATCTTCTGAGCCATATTTGCCAGTACTAACATGGTCAGTGGAACTGTTCCAAAATATAATCGTTTTCTTCCGGAAGGTGTACGATCACTGGCGCCTGGCAGTGGACGTGTAGAACAGAAGCATCACTAGGCCAGCTGGGGGCACACATTCCTCGGCTGCGCGCCGCTGTTTGAAGGATAGATTGGGAAAAGAGTTTAAAGATTTCACTTCGGCGGGACGTGCCGCACGTAGAGTAGAAAGTGGTAAAGGGAAGGCGAAACGAATGAGGACATGAAATGACCTTGGTGTTTCTTGTGAACTTCCAGGAGCATGAACCCCGGACTCCTTCTCCTTGGACGGGATTGTGACAGTCAAGCGATTTCAATTTTGACAGCCGCAGTGGAGACTAGTTGCGAGATGAAGCTTGGGTAATTTCAGTAATGGAGATATGGTGGAATCAGTTATATCCTACGAACATCTTAGTGAGAAACAGAGAAACTCCAATAATTGTTTGTTAATGAATCGTGGAAAACATGAGTCTCGGATCAGTGAGCTTAAATCATTTAAATCTGCGAAAAAATGAATGGCAACGACTACAATTTCTGAAATTATGTCTTCTTTCAAGTATGTTATTTCTCTTTTTATATACCGAAACGATAGTTTTAGTGAGAACATGTTTTTTTTAAGTGTGCCTTTTGATCATATAAAATAAAACGTAACGAAGTGCGGGCCCAGAAATTATAAACTCAACATTTTAATGTAAGAACATTTTACCTCCTGAGCATAATGAACATGTTTTATATCGTTAAGAATAGAATCTTCAGGAGACTACCATTTATCGTTTTTTTTTTTATTTATTGTCTACCTGTTCAACATACATGTTTTTCAGGGTTGTGAATACAATCATACATAACTTTTGGTTTATTTCCTAACTGTGGGTGCCCTCGACGGATGCGATAAATGTTTTTGGTTGTTATTATATTTTTTTAATTAATAATTTAAATTATTACGGAAGTATATTAAGAGTACAGAGAATGATCGTTGATATGATTATTCGATGAAGGTTATATTATTTGAGGCCCATTTTCTGGTATTTTATGGTGGTCTGAATCTGTCTTTAGGGAAGCGTGAGTTGATGCGTAAGTTCGGTTCTGCTGTGCGTCCAAGGTTGAAAATGGAGGTGCTGGGAGATGAGGGGAGTGATGTGAAAAAGTCTTCGGACAATTTGGTAATGTGTTCTTTTATTGTCGGAATTTGCAGTTCGTGGTGGATTTGCTTGTTCGAAATAAACCATGGCGCTTTAATTATAGTTCTTAGCGTTTTATTTTGTATAGTTTGCAACAGGTTTATATTAGATTTTGCTGCATTTCCCCATATTGGGCATGCATAAGTCATAGTTGGTTGAATTATGGACTTGTAAATTATCATTCCGGTCTCTATTTTAAGGGAGGATTTTTTGTTAATTAGTGCGTAAAGTTGGGAAAGTTTTGCTTGTGTTTTTGTTCGTGTTGTGTAAATGTGTGTTTTCCAGTTTAATTTAGTATCAAGTTGCATTCCTAAATATTTGGCTGCTCCATTTATCGTGTGTATCTATCTAAAGCAAAACATCAGTTTGCAGTGAAGAAATGCTTAAACTATTTCCAGGATTTTTGTTGATTTTTATACGCTTGGTTCTTGTTCAGCATTTGCTGTTACGCCGCTGCACAACCATGGTTATAATTTCCAACAAAAATGCATTTTAAGTAGATTTAATAAATTGAATGAAAGTACACATAAAACACTTGATACTACAAAAGAACTCTAGTGTGCGGTAAGTGTTGTTTTTCCCACTCGACAGTTTGATCGAAAACGCGGAGAAACGATGCAACGCCTAGTCCCGTTGTCCACGCTACGGTTCTGGCGTGACTGGTAGCTGGTTTGAATTTTGTTCCCGTAAGTAATTTTTTAACTTTATTTCCTTGAAGGCAATATTTTTTGGGAGAACTGAATCTGCTAATAAATGTATAGAGTTTCAAACTTGATCGAAGCCGAGGGTTTTAAGGGCGAAAAATCCTTCGTACGCCTTCCTTCGGAAGGGAAGTAAAGTAAAGCCGGCTGGCCCGTGTTAGTACATTCACTTGCATGTAAAAGCTCCTCAAGCCTAAATGACGCCTCGGAGCTAAATTCAAATCGCCTGTTTCGCCGCCTAAGAATACATCCTTTCTTCACTGGTGGGTGAAAGGAGCGTAGTAAAATTTGCGTGGTCAGACGGAAGAGCGGGCCTGAGTCTCGCCACGTAAAATAAGGCATCAATTCAATTCAATTGCCGTATTCATGAGGTCTGCTTTTTGTAAAAGAAGTTATTTACTATGTATTTAGGGTTGTTTTTGCCCCGAGGGCGACTTTCAAGTCCGCTTCCTTTCCGGTTGGAAGTCGCCTGAGTAGTAAAAACATCTGGCAGCGCTCGCGGTGCATACTAAGCTGTATGGTTTACTAGTTCTTTCCTGAATAAAAAGATAATTCAATAACATTTTATAATTGTTCCTGCGCCTTATGTTAAAATGCGCATTGTAATCGTCATTTGACAAATGCCAGATAAACAAAAAAGTACGCATTTAATTACAATCCATAATCGTTGTTGGACTGATCTGTTCGTGCAAAGTGAAAGAGTATTGTAAAGTTCCTTCGGAAATTCTCGCAAAAGCTAACAAAGCTATGTGGTGGTTTCCAGTAAAATAGCGAAGAATATATGAAAATGATTATGGTGCATTTGAGATTATGGTCATTAATGGATTATTAAAAACAAGAGGCGATAAAAAGGAAGCGTTAAAGCCTGTATGGTGCACACAATTTCTCGTACTAATTAGTTTCCATTTATTTTGAGTCTGGGTTAACTTCTTGATTTTGTCGTAACCTCTCTCCGGCTTATCACGGCGCTTGGAGCATTCTTCTAGATGTAGGGGAGGGCTTATTAACCCTTGCGGGAGCCCCGGTGCTGGGTTCGTGTGGGTGGCCTCGTGATACTATCCTCTTAAATGAATATTTTCCCTCTTAATTATTGCTCAGAGAGGGAATAAATAATTGAAAGCTTGAAATAAAAAGCATGTAAGTGCCATTTCTCTTAAATTTAGGTTTTTACCAGAATAATGAATGAATCAAGCCCTATAACATAAATAAAAACCTAAGTCCAGACGCATTTTTTTGATAGTGTTACGGGTGATTATAAATGACAGAAGTTGTATGTGCCAATACCTTTAACGTATATATTGTAATCCCCGTGTCGGTTCTGCGTACTCGCTACCGTCACGACCGCGTCCAACAACGGCCGCGCGAGAGGTCACACGCGCTCTGCCGATTCTTTATCAGCAGTGCTAGTCACGACACGCGATTAGGTTGTAGAATAAATTATTTTAATAAGTAACTTTCTACACAGACCTTAAGACGGATGACGTAAGACACACACACGTTTGTCAAAACAACGGACTAACATAATCACTTTATTTTATAGAAACCATGTAAATATTCACTTCAAGTAATTTTACAATATATTTCTTCGGGCATCTTGCTGCAAATTTATACAATTACCTGACTGAGCCTTGGAGTTTTTATAATAAGCAATTGTAATTGAAACCAACCGCTGCAAGTTGGTATACGTTGCATTCCACGTCGGCACGACGTGTAGATCAGTATGCAGACCTCGTATTCACGCCCGTCCAGTTAATTAACAACCAGTAAAAAGCATATTATGAGTTACATTCGGTGTAGCGTCACTCGATTTACGTAATTGTTCTTCGACGAATCTATTTTTATACCTCTCTAGTAATAGCACCGAATTAATTCATGATTCTACGTTGGTCAGTCGCCTTCCGATGGTGAATGGAGCGGGTAATCTCACTAAGAATTTGAGTGAGCGGTTACAGTGTATGGTAACATTTTATCAGTTTAATAAATTACACTCAGAACGTACTACTTTCTTAATATCAATATTAGTTTTACAAAAGCCTTTTTAAATAAAAAATACCCTTGTTGATATTTACATTCATCATTCAACCATGTTCGTGTGTAATAAAAGGTTGACGAAGAGATTCTAAAAATTAATAAAACGTGAGGAGTATT